CCAAGCGAAAGACATTGTCAGGTGGGGAGTTTGGCTGGGGCAGCACCTGTGTTAGAAGATAACGCAAGTGTCCTAAGAGCCTCTGTTCAGCTTAAAAAAAAAAAAAAAAAAAAAAAAAAAAAACTGTGAGAGCGTGGATGGCAAGAGTCCGAGTGGCTAGGACACCGGCTAGAAATGCGCATTGTGGTATAAGGTTGCGGGTTCAAATCCGCTTCCTTGCACATAGGCTTTTGTTTCACGCTTTCATAGCGCATAGCCATCCACACACCGGTTGCTGCGGGTTGGAGTCGGTGTCGGGGGGATTGAGTCCCGACTGCAGTCTGTTATTGGGGGCCAAGGGTTCATACTGGCGATGTGGGAATTGTCGGGTTGCGCTGATGACGCGCACGTGGTGGATTCCGTGTGGGCACAAAATAGCCGTGAAACGAAACAAGCTGACCAGAGGCAAGCAGGCAACCAACAAAAGGAACGGTGCCAAGCGGAGGCTATGCAACCTCAGACGTAGAATAGAGCAGGAGAGGCGTGGCTCAGAGCATTTGAACCGACGTGGAGGGAGGAACAATACCCAACCTCGACAATACCCAACCTCCTCTCCCTCCTCACAAGACTCACCTGCCCAGCCTAGGAGGACACAGCCGCCGGCCTCGTCTCAAACCGCACGCTCGGTGTCACCTGCGGGAATCCTACGGCAAGCACCGACGCGTCGCCACCGAAGACGAGACAAACGTGCAGAACGCAATCCAGCGGCCAAGGTAGACGATCGGTCCAAAGGTAAAACGTCCCTGGTCCGCCCATCGCTGAGACAGGATAGGGATAGACAGTATTTCAGTGAACCTATCGAGAGGAAAGATTTACCATCCTCTTCGAGAGGGCGGCGAGACCCGGGCAGAATAGGATATTACTCAGATAGCACCGATTCCTCAGACTCCGCAAGGGATCTGACTGCGATTCGTGAAAATCACTCTAGCGAGAAGGGGTAGAGAAACCACGATGGCTTCCACGGGTGGAGGACAACCCCCGCAAACTCGGCAGGAGCCTGCTGGCTTGAATCTCACTGACTATGAAGCCATGAGGAGGGTACGCAAAGCAGCATTGACTAGGACGTTTATAGACGATCCGACAGCCTACCCTAAACAGGCGAATGGCGAATGCTCGTTATGGATGGGAGAAAAAGTGGCGAAGGCAGAGGTGACATACCTTCGAGCACACGTAATTCTTGTATGTTTCGATGGACCCCTTAAAGATTTCGCCCCCCGAATGAAGAGAGAGTGGATAAGGAATTGGGAAATAGATAGTTGGCCGCAGAAGGGGCAGGGGGGCCATGCGGGACATCTGACGATAGAAGCGAGTACGGCTGCATTCTAGCGGGCACCAACGGTGGAACTGCGCAACTGCCTAATTTACGAACGTCAGCGAGAGGAGGTGGTGGTAGGAGAGAGAGTGCACTACGTCCGCTTTAAGCCTTGGATGACTCCAAGAGAGCTTGAATGGAGGAAATTACAAGAGAACAGGGCGAACCCTTGGGTCAAGTTCATACAACCATCACCGATGGCAGTATTATCACTCAGGCAATTCGCGAAGGCTTTTTTTGGTGCGGTAAAGAACGGGCAAGGGAAGTGGGCCACGGATGCTGAAGGAAGAGAATCGGTCCGGTTTGAGCTATATCCACCGTTGAAGAGCCAAGCCTTGGAAAGATTCTCCATTGCGCAGGCCTATTATGGCCGGCCGGAGATCAGATGCATCAGCAGTGAGACCCCTTGGTGCGAAATCTGCCATAGGCACGGGCACCTGGCAGGGGTAAATAGATGCCTCACACCTGCGGAGACGAGGGACGAAATGAGAGAGTGAGAGGATCGTCTTCGAAATGATCCGGGGCTGCCCAAGGACGAGCACACGGAGATCGAGGTGTGGGCACACTTTGAAAAAGAATATGACCAGATTATCCTGGCAGAAATCCTCATGGATGATAGTCTGGGAGATGTGAAGGAAGTGGGAAACGCAACCCTTCTCCCCCAAAGGCAGAACGGCACCCGACAGGCTGCGGAAGAGAGACAACACCCACAAGCGCTGGCGCAGGGACAGACATAGCAAATTCGGCAGGACCTCCAGCAAGAGATACGCCAGACTCAGCATCAGAACTGTCAACAACAACAGCAAAGGCAAGAGAGAGAGGCGGCACCGCACACGATTGAGAGAGTGATTAGTGAAACGAAACAAGCTGACCAGAGGCAAGCAGGCAACCAACAAAAGGAACGGTGCCAAGCGGAGGCTATGCAACCGCGAAATGGCGGGGACGAACGAGAAAAAGGACCGAAGGTAGCCACTCATAATATGGGAACAAGGCAAGAGCGGTGCCTGGAAAGTGACGAGGAAATGAAGGAAGCGAGCACACCCGACCAGGGAAGCGAACCTCGTGGGAGCAAGCAGCCCGGACAGCAGCAGCGA